CCAGGTCGGCGTAGCCAGCCACGGGCTGGATCTTGTGTGGGATATAATCATGCTTGAAGAGGCGCGTGAGAATACGACAGGCGCAAAGAGCATCGGGTTCGAGGGCGACAAGCACGAGAACTGGTGGTGAGAGCGGATGTCGAGTGTTCTGCAAGTGCAGGTATAACTTTGATATGAGGGCCCGAGGGAGATACATGGCTAAGAATGGGATTGTAACGCGTAGTCAAGTGTTCGAATTTCTTTTGTCTTGGGGTCGAGCAGTCGACAATCGGCGAGGATTTGCTGCTGGCAAGTGTCCAGGAAGAGGACGCGAGAATGTCCCTTGGCTGGTTGAATATGTCTAGAGTCGTCCGCTGTAAAATCGACCGCGCAATGCCCCGCGGCGAGGGAAGGGCGCGATCGAAGAAATTGAGAACCGTCAGGGTGGGATTGAGTTGTAAGTATGGGCAAGATATAATCAGAGGAGACTTCAGACTTGGTATAAACGCCAAAGACGCTCTGCTGAAATGTTGGAACAGACAACAAACAGGCGTGTGTTGGTGTTGGTGCCCATTAATTGGAATAAAGTGGAGCGGTGTTTATGGAGATGGAGGCCGAGACTCTGCAAGACGCGCTTCGACAAGCCCAAGACGCGACTTGCACCGCGGGACACACAGTGACAATCAGAAGGAAACACTGGGCAGTTGGACTGTGCTTCCATCTCGTCAGCATGCAACTCAAAAAAAGCATGGGCCACCTCCCTGCCTGCCTGCCGCTCACCCTGTTAGGTAAGGTATACCTTACCCTGAACCCTCCCCTCACCTTGCACACCACCACACCTAAAAGCGGCGTGCCAGCTGTCTTCTGCCCCGCCCGCTCTCTTTGTGACAGCCCCCTTGCAACGCCCTGTGCACGTCTCCCAACCTCATCAGCAGCAGCCATTGGGATGATCTCCTCGTTTGTTTCATGACACTGACCGCTTCTTTTATTCTTAGACGATATACACCACTTCGTACACATGGCATCTTCCGTTCGTCGGATCGGTTCGGGTCGTGCTCGTGGGAGTCGTGCCAGCGCCATCCGAAGACACACTCTGCGAGGTTTCATTGCTGCTCCCTCGTCCCGCTCTTCCACACGAGGGGAAGCTGGGACACCACACTGATCGCTCGTCGTGGCATCTAAGACAAGAAACACAGCTTGCCCCAATGGGAGATTTTTATTTTCTTGAGAGATACTGTACATATGTCTGCTGCTGCTGATCGAGAGTTTGGGAATCGGGGTGCTACCGAGGCGTTGGTTCTGCTGTCGACAAGGCTCACCAAATCCCGACGCTATGGGCGAGCCCCCATCCCCGCCCCCTCTCTCCAGACGGCTGGGATGGATGTTGGCTGGATGCTGAGCACAAACACAGCTTCCCTTCCGGAGAGCTGGGTCATGCCCTCTGCCAACTGCGTGTGCCGTCCACCGGCATTTCCAGCAAATGGTCGAGATGCAGCCATGGCGTTCTACTCATGCAAGCACATGCCGCCATCTGCCAGGACACCTCATGGCCGCCCTTGATTGGTCCTTGTCCCACTCAGAACCCACAGAACCCACACAACCCACACAACCCACCGCTCCATGGCCTCCACCCCTCACCATGGATTGGGTCATCCCCCCCAAGCTCGTCCAGGTACCTTTACGCTTCACGCCGGTACTACTGGTCTGCTGGCGAATAGTCGTGGTCTGGAAATCTTCCCTGGATTCTGCCCTCGGCCCTTCCCTTGAGCTTTCCGCTTTTGGGTCCTTTCTGTCAACATGTGCAGTACATCGTTTTTAGCTGCTTGGTCCGTCGGCTTCGCTTCTCTTGGCTGCAAGCCATGAGTCCATGAGCGGCCATTTTGCCCCGAGAGCCCCGGCCTTGTCTTCTCTTCTCCTCCCAGCATTCTCTCTTTTTCTCTCGACATCTTTATGTGCTCTTCTTCTGCTCTTGTCTTCCCCCCTAGCTCTCTTCCTGTCCATTCGGTAATGGTACGCTTTCCTTAACTCGCTACCGAGGAGAGAATCCTGTCACTGGCTCCCTTGACAGGATCACATTGAATATTTGTTTCTCTATCAGCCTACGATATCCACTTCTTGAGCTCCCCTTGCCAGTTCCGCTTCCCCAGAAAAAAAGCGGCCTCGAAATATGCTCTTGGCCTGTCCACTTGTGCCCCGAAAACTCTACCTAAGTCGAACAGGTTTCTGGAGACCATCACCAAGTCCAAACCTGAATGCAGGCAGCAGGGACCTCTGTTGCTGGAATGGAGGAAAACGGTGTCATCGAGCCACTGCCTGATGAAGAGGTGACATCAGATTATGACCCAAGCGATACCGAGACTACATTTGGTTCCCTGACCTCGAGTGTCACGGGTCATGTGTGGGAGTATGGGAGACGGTACCATGCGTTTCGCTATGGACGTTACCCACTACCAAACGATGATGAGGAGTATAAGCGGGAGTCTCTCCGACATGCTATGCTGAAGGAGCTCCTAAGGGGCAAGCTCTATCTTGCGCCCATCGGAGATAACCCACAGAAGATCATCGATCTTGGCACCGGGTTTGGAGAATGGGCGATGGAGAGTACGTTTGGAGAAATCTCTCAGCTTGACTCAGGCTAACGTCATGTCACAGTGGGCGAGCTTTTTACCGGCGCCAAAGTTACGGGAGTCGACTTATCGCCGATTCAGCCACTATGGGTTCCTTCGAATGTCGAGTTCATTGTCGATGATATCGAAGACGAATGGGTGCATGATCAAGACTACGATTTCGCACATTTTCGTTTTGTCAACACGGTGCTGAAGAATAATGAGGGAGTTTTACGCAACATTCTCCAGTAGGTATTATTACACTTCCTCCAACGGGCCATGAATGCTGACAGCCCAGTACAAGGAATCTCAAGCCGGGCGGCTGGGTGGAAATCCAGGATATCTACCCCCGGATATCGTCAGATGATAATACCCTACCAGAGGAATATCCCCCGGCCAAGTTCTACGCGCTGCTTCAGGGTGTTCTCAAAGACCAGTACGGGTTTGATCTCCAGGTCCTGGAGAACCTTCCCGATTATCTTACGCGGCTCGGATACACCAACGTGCAGCGGAAAGTGTTCCACATGCCTTTGGGCGAGTGGCCCCGTGATAAGCATCTGCGGATGCTTGGAGGCTGCTTTCAAGAAGTATTTCTCGACTTCGTCGTTGCCATGGCGGCTCGGCCGCTTGTGGAAGCGGGCTTCGACAAAGCCGATATTGAAGAGCTTGTCACCGGCGTCAAGAATGCCGTTTCGAACAGACGCATTCACGCCTATGTCCCAATCCACTTTGTCTGGGCGCAAAAACCACCAGCACCACCAGCACCACCAGCATGAGGGGTCCCCAATATCTTGTGCGCCGACCGGCTATAAGCTTGAGCAATCGAGATCCAGCACCTACCCGGCTGCGCCCCAAAACCACTATCGACAGGTTTCTCGAAGGGGCAATGCTACACGAACTCGGCGACCATCCAGCTTCCACACACACAGCGACCAATGTGAGAACCTCAATGGGCATAGCTTTTCGCCCGGCCAATAGGACGTACATCTGCCAGATAGCGGGATAAGTGCCGAGATAACAGACGACATGCACGACTACAATGCCGCCATCGTTCGATTCGCTCGACAAAGTATTTGATGCTTGAGAGCAGTGTTGCATGCAGCTGCAAGCTTTTGGCCCGTCTCCCTTTGGCCAACTCCGAAAAGCAGGGCGCAACTCTCAGGGAACGCCGAGATTTCTCAGAGCCACACACACACACACACAAACTTGCAAAAAGTCATGACGAATTCAGCAACGGATGTATGATGCCCGCGCGGCGTTTAATCTCTCGCCCCAGGCACCGGTCAAAAGATGGCGGGACACATGGGCAGACGGCCGAGTCATGCAACAAACGACAGTGACAGCGCGGGGTTGTGCCAGTGGGAAAAGGCCAAGCTATGCAATGCACCGTTCTTCTGCGGAGAAGGCCGGGGGCTGCTGGGAGGAGATGGAGGGAGACGTAGAATTGTGGCTGCCGAATTGTGTCTTGTCGCTGCTGTGATCTGTCATTACTGGGAACTCACCGCCGTTTATAGCCTGCTTTGCATTCCTCGAATATAGATATGCGATTTCAATAATGAAACAATTATTATTTACACTCACTACACACGACACATCGGCATGGTATTCATTGATTTGACAAAATCCTAGTTACAGCTACTCAAATAGGAACTATAGGGAGCAACGAGAATCCAGATAGGTGCAGGTTACAGGGGGAGATAAACCTTGAACACGATGTATGTGAAAGAGCGTGCAGATGGCGATCGCCGAGAGCTGTGTAGAAATATGTATGTGGCATGACAGTTCTTGTTGCTGTTGCAGGGAATGCTACCTACTTGACGTTTACGGAGTGTGAGGGAGGGGTTAGAGATCCAACTTTGAGCGAGCAACCCTGTCAAGGGTGAGGTATGTCAAATCACGAAAGGACCCAGTGGCGGAATTACCGGGCAGGGTGTGGTGTGGTATGGTGTAACTGGGCTTTATGATATGTAGGTGAGGGAAATAGGGAAGATGATGGTTGAGATTTAGAGATGATGTGTAAGTACTGTATCCCTTCTTCAACTTAAGGTACCAGAGGCAAACCATGGCTGAAGATATTGACGTGTCCAAAGATTTCAAGATCTGTTAGGCGTTTATCATGTTCACAATAGGTAGGTGGGGGATAGACGTTTTGCTGCTCTTGAATGCGGGTGATCACTTTCTTATTCGATTGTGGTTATGTGATGGGGTGAGGTTGAGTTTATGGGGTGGCGGTATGTGGCAACTCTCGTACTGCCAGTAGCTAGCTAATCATGAAATTTATTTTCCAGCGAGTCGCCGGGAATATGCAAAACGGTGAGTTTTGCAAAATGGAATAGGGTTATAGAAAGTGAAGAGAGTAGTCACAATATCTCTGAGGATAGAGGCTGTGACGGTAGTGGTAGTGTTGTGTGTGTGTGATCCGATCCAGACTCGAGCTGGAGAGCTTTAGTGTGTTAGACTGCCCGACACGATAACCAACTACACCATCGGGCCTCTGCACGTTTGTTCGGAATTTGGGTTTGTTTACGGAATAGGATTACGGTGTGTTAGTTGGTGGGAAAACGAAAGAAAATAAAGCTATTGCTATTGACGTTGATGGGATGAAGTGATTGATGGTGGGAAGGGACGGAGGTATGGCGCTGGGGTGGGCCGCCAGAATTAATTGGTAGTGTACTGTAAGTCCACCAGTGTGATGAGCCCGGGAGTGGTTGGTGCCTGACGTTGGTGCACTGTAAATGGGTTGTGCCCCACTGTAGTTGCTTGCTTTATTTCAACTTTGATATTCATTTCTCTAAAACCACCACTTATCTCATCACAACAACATGAGTAGATTTCATGGCGATATGGAGTCCAATGATATAGGACAATAACAACATGGATTGTTCGAGCCCGTTGTCAGATAGGCAGCCGGGAGTATGTATCTATTCTACTACCTAACTGAAGTAAACCAAAGACCAGAAGGCTAACAATCTGTACAGGCGATGCCAACATGGGAGGACTGGATCGAGTTGTACCTGAGCAGGGCCTCTGCACACTTCATGGATGGGAAGGACCCAGTGGAGGTGTTGACTGATTATGGCAAGCGTTATATTGTCCTTATCCACGCTCACCTTCAAGAAGACGAACATGTCGAAAGACTCTTGACAGGATGCGGGGAGCCGCTTGTCCAACTTTTGACACGACAAGCTCGCGCGATGAATCAACCGAGACCTGATTTCGACCGAGTAAAAAGGCGACTGGACGACATCTTGGCCGCGTCTTACAACAAGTTTTACGCCTACTTGTACAAGGACCTACCTCTGTGCTGGAGGGTAATATATACCGAGGCTGCTATTCTCAAGTTTTGGCTGTTGTGGTTTGAGTGGGCGAGGAGTCAGCGGCCGGAGATGTTTCAACCAAAGGAGTGGGAACGGAAGCGGGAATGGTATCCGCGAGAGCATAAGCAGCAAGACGAACAGCTATCAATGGAGCAACTTGAAGAGTGGGAGCGACAGATGAGGCAGCAAGGGGAATGGCCGCCGTCAATACACGTGGGGGGACGAGAGAAGGAAGATCAGATATATGAATTGCTACGAATGAAGCAGCGACAAGACGAGCAACAACAACTAGACGAGCATAGACAAGACGAGCACGGGCCAGAGCAACACCAACAAAAACAACAGCAAAAAGAACAACTCCTCAACGAGATGATCAAAACCCTAGACCTCGCCCTTATCCTAGCCGGCGGCGGAGAAAAACGGGATTTCATCAACCGCATCATAGCCTTACTCGAGAAAGCCGTATCTCCCCACTGCAACGACAATCCGTACCTGCCCAACCCCAAGCCAGAAAATGAAGACCCCTCCCCATCCAAGCAGCCCGAAGCATCCACCCGACCAACAAAACGACCAAAACTATCACCACCACCACCACCACCACCCAACTGGTCCTCCCACCCCTCCTTCCCCCCTCCGAACCCTTCACCCCCCCAGTCACAAACCCCATCCCCCGCCTCCCCTCCCCCTCCTTCTCATCCTTCCAACTCTACCTCTCCTCCCCCTCCTCCCCTCCCCAACCCCAAATCCTCATCAACCTCGTCCCGCACTGGCCAGCCCTCACCTCCCACCCCTGGTCCAAACCCTCCTACCTCCTCTCCCGCACTTTTTCCGGGCGCAGGCTAGTCCCAGTAGAAATCGGCCGCAGCTACGTCGACGCAGGCTGGACACAAAATATCATCCCGTTTTCCGAGTTCCTTACCTCTTACATCACCTCCCCCTCTCCCCCTAGCACAAGTAGCAAGGGGTATCTAGCCCAACACCAACTCTTCACCCAGCTCCCCCACCTCCGAAACGACATCTCCATCCCCGATCTCTGCTACACCTCCCCCCCTCCGGGCGGCCCTCCGGGCGGCCCTCCGGGTTGGGGGGGTGATAGTGGGCAAGGGGAGGAAGAAGAAGTAGGAGAACTAGAAGAACCAATGCTAAACGCCTGGTTCGGCCCCCCGGGGACGATAACACCCCTGCATACGGACCCGTATCACAATTTGCTTGTGCAGGTCGTCGGGAGGAAGTATGTACGGTTGTACCCCCCTGGGTCAAATATGAAGCGAAGGGGGAGAGAAGGCGGGGTGGAGATGGGGAATACGAGCGGGTTTGATCTTGGGGTTTTGGAGGGGTGGGATGAGCCCCCTGAAGAGGAACAAGGGGAGGACGGGGAGGACGGGGAGGAGGGTAGGAGAGGGACACCGGGGAAGGGGGAGGGGAATGAGGGGGATAAAGAGTGGGAGGAAGAGTTCAAGAGGTTGGAGTATGTCGATTGTATACTGGAGCCGGGGGAAACACTGTATATACCGGTGGGGTGGTGGCATTATGTCAGGGGTTTGAGCGTAAGTTTTAGTGTGAGTTTTTGGTGGAATTAGTTTTCCAACAACAGGGAGGCAGGGTGTGTCTTCTTGGTGGGATAGAGACTGTATGGGCAGACTGAGATAAGACTCTCTCTCTATGTTGTCCGATACAGACAGAGCAAAGAGATGAAGTTCTGACATGCTCTTGCGTCCAGGAGCAGGCAGATAGGTTGTGAATCGGCGTGAAAACGCCCGTAGACAACAAACACCCCTCGAGAACCAGCCACCTCTTCACACACATCCCCTTTCTCTCATGATCTAGCCCTCAGTCTTTTCTTCCACCCTTCTGCCATCCCAAAGTCTTCCGTGCTCACACTACCCCATATATCACCCCTCTCCCCCACTGGATAGGTAGTTAACGCAGTCGTTTATGCAAACAGGGTGATTTCGATTTGTATAGTACAGTATAGTAGTACATAAAGGTTCCACACATTTCCATCCTCTATCTCATCAACATCATGGGTATCTTTTTTTCTCTTTTTCCTTTTTTATTTTCCTTTTCCGTTCCTCCCTTTCTAAGCGTTGTTTTGCTCATTAATCTTGGCCAAAATCTCGCTGTCCCGGAAGAGGTGGTACTCCTCCTCGCCGACCTTGACGGGGGAGCCGCCGTACTATATTATCCGTCAACATCGTCACCACCCAATATATCTTCCAATGAAGGAGGGCGAAAGGTCAACCTACCTGAGGAATCAAAACCCGATCCCCAGCCGCGCACCCCATAGGCACCCTCTTCCCATCCTTATCCAGTCCACCCGGCCCAACAGCGAGAACCTTGGCCTCGTTGAGCTCCTTGACGGAGCTCTCAGGCAGGAAGATACCAGACGCAGTCTTGGCCTCGGCCTTGATGCGCTGCACGAGGACGCGGTCGAGGAGGGGACGAGGGACTTGATGGAGCGGAGGGAGGTGGCCTTTACATCTCACTGTCAGCATACTATCCTCATTATTATGGTTATTATTAGAGGGGAGGGTGGGGAGCTCCAAGCTATGGTATGTGCTTGCTATTGCGTAATTGCTTTCCATGCTAAAGTAGAGAAGGGACATACCATTTTGTCTGATTTACGTTGTTTACGTTGTTGAACCTGGGGGAAAAGTTCTGTGTAGTGTGCAATTAGGTCGAGAGGTCGAGAAAAATTGACGGTGGTGAGGTTGGTGAAGTGTTGTTGTGAGGAAGAGGGGAGGGGAGCTTTTCAATTGATCCTCGTTGCTGTGGTGGTAGTGATCCACGATGCTGATTATGGGGCCGGGGGAGCTTTCTAGAATTGTCCGCCCGATTTTTTTTTTCGACTGAGGTCCCTGCGCTCGCAGCCCGCTCCGACCGACCGACCGACCGACCGAACTGGCCCGGGCGGTAGCAAACACCGCTTTTTGCTACCATCCACAAGTCTGGCTATAGCCGAAAACTGGGCCAGTTTGGGATAATCGGTGGGTTATGATTGGCTACTGATATGAAAAGGTCTGGTGGCATAGCAAACTGTGGGGTTACAGTTGCACCGTAGCCAATGTGTAAGTGACCAGCCTAAAACGTCAAACGTCACTGTTTACTCTGTCCCCTCCCTATTTTCACCATGACAACTGCACCTCAAACACAAAACACATCTAACCCCATACTACTCATATATTCATCTCTTTCTGTACCCTATGTAACTACAACAATAAAAAATACCCTATCATACTCTCTATCAAACATTCTTCCCCTCTTATGCCATGTGCAATCAGTCATCCATGATACCTCCTTGAATGCCCCTGTCTTTTCTACATACATGACCCTCTTGACCCCCTTTAGCTCCCAGCTTCCCTTTCCTTTCCTTTCCTTCCCTAGTGTATTGACCCTTCATGAAGCGAAGAAAACAAAGACAAAAATAGAAAAAAACCAAATCTAGTCTGTCCCCAGCTGCATGAAAGCAAAAACATGAAAATCCGCTGGGATGCCCAGCTGCCCCCTCTAGACTCCCGGCATCGACGAAAAAAAGAAACCAAGAACCAAAAGAAACGAGCAAATTAGGTGAAGAATACGCTGGTGTTTGTGTGTTTGTGCATGTATGTGTGTACCGCCCAATCCCTTATCCTACACCAAAAGATTCAAGGGCCAAAAAAGCTGTAGGTGTCAAGAAGTGAAGATAAAAGAAAATGCAAATGGTACTTTTCCCGCGGCGCCCGCTACCCCTGAGGTTTTTCTCGTACTGTGATGTTATTCTGACCGTTTATTTCGGAGCAGGAGGAGTAGGCGGCTCTAGAACATGAGTATGATCATCCGCGTTGACCACCTGTCCCGGTCCAATCTGCCTACAAATGACCGTGTCTGATACCCAGGGGTCCTCTAGAATCTCACTCATCTGCGCTCGCGTTTTGGGATCGAGATCAAGCATTCGACCGATAACATGTCGGGATTCTCTTGGGAGGAGTCGGAGGATACGCCAAGGGCCGCGGATGACTTCCTTCTTTTCGCCTTCCTGGCCGCTCGCCGCAGGGCGCTTTTCGCTCTTGTGTTGTTCAGGCTGACTGTTCTTTTCGGTGTGAGCATGCTCTCGGGGTGCGGCCTGGCCCTCAACGAAGTCCCTCACTGGTGTACTGTTCAGGGCCGTCATGGAAGCTGAAGGAGGAAGGATGAGCT